CCCCAAAACCCCAAAACCCCAAAACCCCAAAACCCCAAGTAACAAAATAATATCTTCAATAGGAATTAAAAAACCAATTCTCCAGAAAAAATCCTAGCTGCCTGCTGACCCAAAGCTGCCTATCGTAATCTGTGGTTTCTTCACATCTCGAGTTGTAATTCTAATACTGCCATCATTGCTCTGCTTTCTGCTATCTTCAACCTCGCTAGCTCTTGACCTGTTGATTCCAGCTGTGCTTTCCTGTAAGTTCTCCGATTTCTCTGCTCGTTCGTTATAGATATTATCAATAGCTGCATAAATGTCAATAACAAAGGCAATAATGATGTTCATGATGACCATCTCACTCAGAATATAGTACACTAGGAAAAACATGTTTTGGAAACTTATCTCTAAGGAATCTATAGCGAATGAGATACAGAAAAGTCCGATGAAGGAGGATAGAGTATCATTGAAGTTTATTTGCACGAAGGTCGTAGGTACAGCATTCTCTTGGAAAATCGGATTCTCAGCCATTGTGACATCTCCTCCGAATAATCTGTCTCCGATGATGGAGAAGAAGTAGAATACTAGGAATTGAATCACTAATAAAGTATAGAAAGGACCAAGAAGTGCGTCTATTGTTTTGAGTATCTGCCTCCATTCTCTTACTTCTTTGAGTAGATTTAGCATTCTTAAGCAGCGGAATAATACTATAAGTTCTAAAAGTCTGTTTTCCAATCCATAACTCCCAACTAGAATGAATTTAATGAAAATAAACACTGAAATTATTGTGTAAACAAGCTCAGCTCATACTGAAAGCTTTTTGAGTGTCTTAAATGGGGACCAATCTACTATAAAATTTGCTGCTAATTCTAAAGTAAATAATAAGTTTAGCAAAAATTGGGTCCAAATCCATCCAATAACTTGACCTCCAGTTGCTCCATAAGTATCAAAATAATCTCTAACAAAAAGAGTTGAGAGATTTAGAGCAAGGACAATGTAAACTCATAAGTCATATTTCGGATTCTTCATAAACCTGGTTAACCTGAGCTGTATAGTTGGAATCCTTTTGGATTCTTTAGGCTCCACCTCTTGGCCAAGCTGGAGCATATCCATAACATCAAAATATCTATAAAACTCTTGAATGTAAATTTTTCCGTTCTTATCTGTATCAAGCAATTTGACAAACTTCTCAACGTCGATATTGTCCTCGTTATGAGCTGGATCCAGAGACAGGAGGTAAATAATAAGGCGTTTTACCTCAGGAATATTCAGATAACCCTTATCGTCTTCATCATATTCATAAAATTTTTTCTCGAGGTATTCGATTCTCTTGTGTTCATACTCTTTAATACTTTCTTCAACTCTACTACCATAGTTGCTGTAGAACACAGCAAGCAAAAGGTTGAGAAAGAAGTAGACTCCCACAAAGATAAATAAGAGAAAGAATATCACATAAAATGTACTCATCTGGTACGCTGGCATCATCACATCAGGGAAATTCGCTGTGGTTAGTAGTATAAATAAGTTCCAAATAGTTTCATATAAACTTCCAAAATATGCAAATCCTTGCGGAGTACCTTCAAATAGCATGTAGCCTGCCCAAGAGAAGAACAGGAGGTAGAAAATGATCAGGAAGAATATCTCTTTGGAGTCGTAAATTACCAGGATTATCCTCTTCATTGCTTCTCTTAAGGAGCGTATTGACAATGAAATTCTAATAACTCTGATAAATTTACTTACGAACATTCCTTTTCCTCTGGATAATGCTATGATGACATCAATAATTGATATTACTGACAATACTAGGTGCAATATTTCTCTAGCTCTTGAGGAAGAACTACTCTTCCTGAAGGTTGTCCGAATCCAGGAGAAGAATAACAGTATTAATAAGCAAATGATTTCTAGAAGGCATGACGCTACTTGAGGCATTTTTGGCAATCCAGAGGTAGGATATATATGGCTATCACAAGTTGACAAGTCTTCAATATCATCTCTGTCAATTCACCAAGTGGGGATCTCAAAGAAAATAAACATAAAATACACTGCAAGCGTAATGTACTTTATAAAGAGTATCTTTTGATATATTTTATTTGTACTTCTTCGCTCTGGGTGTATGCTTTGTCCTTTCCTCCCATTTTATCGCCCTATCAAGTGAAATCAAGATATTTTGCCCCAAAATATCGTCTCCAATATTCTGAGAGGACTCTATGAACGAAGACCTATTTGATGGCGACAGCAAGGGTTTATCCAAAAGTTGGTCCTTCTCTTGTTGTTTGCTTTCCATAGTAGTAGAATATATTTTTCAATCCTTAAATATTTTATAGGGGTTTTGGGGTTTTGGGGTTTTGGGG